GGCGGAGCAGGGGGAGGATGGGGATCCTGGGCAGGGCTGGGCCCCATCCCTGTCCCCACTGTCATCTGGGCTGGACACCGGGCACGGAGAGGGGCACAGGGAAAGGGGGTTTGGCAGCAGAGTTGGGAAAGGTGACCCACACCAAGCCCACACCAGACCCACGCCGTCCCGTACCAGACTCATGCCAAGCCCCTGTCACCCCACACCAGACCCACACCACACACATGCCAAGCTCAGGCCATCCTCCTCCCGGGGCCACCCCAAAAACGCCCCCAAGCCCCCCACCGACCACGCCAAGCCCCCCCAACATGTGCCACCCGTGCCATCTAGTGGGATAAGGCTAGAAGGCAGCCTGGCACCCACCGTGCACCTGTTGGGTACCCCCCCTTTCTACACCCCACAGCACCCCAGGGACACGCTGGGCACAGGCCACCGTGCCACCACGGGCACAGGGCACTGTCCCAGCATGGGGTGGGCGAGATGTGCAGCCCCCGGCCCCTGGGCGCAGCCGCATCAGCTCTGGCTTTATTGCAAAAAGAGTCCGTGGGGATGCGGGCACTCAGGGACGCCGGTGCCACGCTGGGTCCCGGCCCCGCTCGCTGCTGGCACGGCCCCCGCAGAGGGACCCCATCTCCGAGGGTGGCAGTCTGCGGTGCTAGGAGGGGCAGTGGGCGCTGTGGCAGTCCCCGCTGTCCCTCGCGTCAAGCTCGGGGCTGGCAAAAAGGTCCGGGCTGGTGGGTGAGGGGGATAGATGCTGCATGTCCTGGACACTGGGGCGAGGGTCCCCGTGGGGTTGTGGGATGGCACCTGCTTCTCGCTCCTGGGGGGCGGAGGTGTCGGGATGAGCGGGGTGGTGGGAGCTGAGGTCCCCAGGCCTGTCGTCCCGGGAAGCCCCACTGTCCCCCTGGCCTGGGACCGCTCCGGGCAGCCCGTCCTCCTGGGGCCGAGCTGGGGATGGGCTTGCGGCAGCTCCTCCGTCCTCCGGCACCTTGTCCCCGCCGGCCGGTGCTGGCTGAGCCGCTCTCCCGATGCCAGGATCCTCCTCAGTGGCCACCGGCGTGACTTGCTGGTGGCACATGGGGCACGTGTCCTGCACATAGAGCCACTTGCGGAGGCAGGCAGCGTGGAAGAAGTGACTGCAGGGGGTGATGACGGCCACCTGCATGTCCTGCAGGCAGGGAGAGGACGTCACCCAGCGGGCCAGGGGACCCCCCGGGGCTGCCCAGAGCAGGGTCCCCCAGCGCTGCAGGGGTGCCAGCGAGGGGAAGGGACTTACCTGGAAGCAGATGGCACAGACATCGTTATGGTCCCGCAGCTGCCCGCCCGTGGCCCGGGGCAGGGAGTTGATTTTCTTGGCAGCCTCCCGGCGCAGCAGAAAGCTCTTCCAGCCCGACTGAGCGCGCAGCCAGACGTTGAAGTAGGAGTGGATGATGATGACGGAGGCGCCCATCCAGCTCCACTCTCCAAAGAGGGACTCCCAGGTGCCGTAGCCCACCACGCAGACGGCCACCAGGAACTCCAGCACCCGGCTCACCGCGTTCACGCAGTAGATGATCTCGTCCATCCGCTCCAGCGGCGTGTCCTGGAGCAGCTCCACCATGAAGAGGGCGTAGATGAAGAGGGTGCCCATCACCTGGTAGGCAACGGGACAGCGCCTTGTTGAGGGTGGCCGGATGGCAGATTGCACATCCCCACCCAGTGTCACCATTCGGGGCCAGGGGAGGGTGACTGGCGCAGCGTTGTGGGCATCGGATGGGCAGGGCTGCCCACCCCAGGGCGCCCAGCGAGATCCCAGTCAGGGGGAGTGGGAGCTGCCGTACCTGCAGAGAGGTGAGCATGCAGCTGGAGACCAGGATGAGCAGCCAGAAATCCAGGTGGAAGAAGTGGGCGATCTTGTAGGCCATGAAGCAAGGGAAAACCAGCAAGAAGAGGCACATGCTGACGCCACGGAAATGTTTCCAGGGGCTCCTAGGGGAGGCACAGCTCAGCGGGGCCATGCCCACCCCAGGAGCAGCATCAACCTCTCTGGGACCCCACGCTCCAGCCCCCTCCTCCAGCACTGCTTCTGCCCAAAAACGGGCAGGGAGGACCCGAGGTGGAGGGAGCACACGGAAGGCATGGGACCCAGCCTGGCTCTTCCCCAACGCAAGGTGGGAGGACCCCTGCCACTCCTCCCCGCTGCCGCCCAGGACCGGGGACCGGATCCTGCTGCTCTTCCTTCTCCCAATACCTGTTGCGGGAGGCTCCCAGCGCCAGCACGATGGGATCAGCTATCTCGATCATGGACTGCAGTGTGGAAGTCACCACGATGAAGAGGATGATGCTGAGGAGGAAGGTCCGCTGGAGGATCTGCAGGTCGAGCAGCCCCGTCTGCAGCGCCAGCAGCAGCAGCGTCACACCCTCCGTCACCCCCCTGCCAGGAGCGGGGTGTGAGGCCGGCGGCCGCAGGCACGTGCCACGTGGCACCGCGTGTGCTGTGCCCCGGTCACCCCCCGTGGACGTGCCCCCATCCCCAGATCTCTCACGACACCCCTGTCCTCCCCACCCTGTGCTGGACTCCTGCGGGCAAACTGGGCTGGGAGGAGGGATGCCTGCCCGTGTCCCCCCGCCGCCGGCTCACCTGTGCATGACGTTGCCGTTCTGGAAGGCGCCAAAGCCCAGTAGGTAAAATTTGCAGAGGTTGAGGACGCCCAGGGCGAGGTAGGAGACGGTGAAGGTGAGGCCGATGAGGGAGTAGGGCGTGCTGCAGCACTCAGCCGCGCTGCAACAGAGCCCGGGGTGAGTGTGGATGCTGCAGGGACCGGGCAGCACAAACCGGAGCCCCAGCCCCTCCTCATCCTCCTCCCGCAGCCATGCCGGAGGAAGGCTGAGTTCCTCCAGCTCCCGCTTGTCCTGGTCCTTACCTGCTGAGGAGGAGGAAGAGGAGGCCCTGCTGGGCCAGGGGGCTGCTGGAGGAGGTGAGGAAGGAGGAGAGCCGGAGGGAGAAGAGCACCAGCCAGAAGACGAGGAAGAGGAGCGGG